GGTCCTGGACGGCCACCACCAGGCTCTGCTTGAGCGCGTCTCTATCCTGCAGGGCCCGCGCCGTGCGCACCTCGCCCGTGTGCACCCCCACCGAGGAGAGCCCTGGCTCGCTGGCCTTGAGCAGGCGGTAGGACAACCAGGCGTTCTGACCTGAATCGCGGTCAACAGCCACCACCTTGGTCACCAAGTAGCCGGGCTCTGCAGAGCGGGGCGCCAACTCCACTCCAGTGGAGCCGTCGCTAGGAAGGGCGGGGTGCAAGATCTCCGGTGCGTTGTTGTTCTGGTCCAGCACGAACAGGCTTAGTGTCACGTTGCTGCTGAGCGGCGGGTCCTCGCTGTCGCGTGCAGTCGCCCACAGCTGCAGGTCCCGAAACTGCTCACAGTCGAGGGAACCCAGTGCGTACAGGACTCCAGTGTCTGAGTTCCTGGAGACATAGGACGACAGTGGCGCCCGCTGGAGGATGTTCTCTGCCAGGGAGTAAATGACCTGAGCGTTTTCATCAGAGTCGGGGTCCTGAGCGGTCATCAAGAAGATGAAGGTGCCTCTGGGGTAGTTCTCTGAGATATAGGCGGAGTAGGAGGCATGAGAGAAGGCGGGCGGGTTGTCATTGGTGTCTGCCACGTTCAGCAAAATGTGAATTTCCGTGGACAGGGGTGGACTTCCCCGATCAGTGGCGGTCACCGTGATGTTGTAGCTAGGAACCTGTTCCCGGTCTAAGACTGTGTCAGTCACTTAACTATAGTAATTTCCGTAAGACTTTTGTAATTTAAAGGACAGATTCCCTTGGATGAAACAGATCACCTGCCCATTTTCCCCAGAGTCTTGGACATTTATATTTAAAAGGGCTATTAATGTCCCTCTCAGAGAGTCTTCCAGAACAGAGCTGGTGAGAGAGGTGACAACTACTTCAGGGGCATTGTCATTCGCGTCCAGAACTGTGATCAGGACTTTGGCTTGTGCGGCATATCCCGCATTATCCATTGCTCGCACTTCCATCTCGTAGAATTCTGATTCCTCGTCGTTGAGCTCTCTTGTTGAAATTGTTCCTAAATTATAACCTAGTTTGAAAACTTGGGCCGCTTTGTCGTCCACATAACAGAAGGAATACATCACTTCCGCATCGGTTCCTTCGTCAGGGTCGTTGACGTTTACCAGGAGCAGCTGAGTGCCCACGGCCACATCCTCCGGAACGCTCACGCGGTACTTCGACTGAGCAAATGCTGGTGCGTTGTCGTTCACGTCAACTACCATAACGCGGACACGCGCGGTGCCGCTGCGGACCGGGTCGCCCCCGTCGGAGGCCGTGAGGACCAGGTGGTGAACCGCTTTTTCCTCCCCGTCCAGGACGCGCTCCAGCACCAGCTCCGGGTACTTTTTCCCATCCGCTCCGCTTTGCATGTCTAAGGAGAGTGAGTTTTCGGGCTGAGCTCGTAGCTCCGGAGAGAGTTCTTCCCGATATCCGGATCCCAAGCGTGGGGAAGGGGGAACCGCATCCCAGTGGCTGCATTTTCACTCATTTTTATTTCTAGTTCACCTTCCGGGAAGTAGGGAGCGTTATCATTAACGTCCCTTACTTCTATCTCCACTCCGTATCTTTTCACTTTATCCTCCATGAGAATCTCTAGATTTAATTAACATTTGATGGCCCCGTACGGAGCTCCTCCCGGTCTATCCTGCCCGCCGTGATCAACTTGCCACTTTGCAGACTCAGCGAAAAGTTGCGTCCTACCTCTGGAAACAATGAGGACTCCGCGCTCCGCCAGCTCCCGGGGTTCCAGCCCCAGATCTTTGACGATATTACCCACACTAGAGCCTTTCTCCAGCTCCTCAGAGGACTGAATAGCGGATCTGGGAGCACCCGCTTTCCCACAGGATCCCCAGAGGACTCCCAGCAGGACGGCCGTTTGTAGCCCTGGTGCAGATGCGAAGGAATCATTATCACGTTCCTCAAGGATTATTTCCAAATTCGCCCTTGACCACGGACGTCAAGATCAGCTCTTCGGTTCTTGGATTAGGAGGGTTGGGGGCCAGAGCTTCTCTGCTCAGTTGCCTCACAGTCCTTTTCTGTCTGTCGGTGCTTTGTCCTTTAGGCGCGTGCTCCGTGAGCAGTACCCCTCTGCTTTTCTCTTTCTGATTGGTGAACAGCAAGCGCCCAGAGTCCTAACCAATTACTACACAGTCTTGAACACCGGGAAAGGATTTTTGCTTTTTATTCCTTAAATAGCTCCATCTACTGTTCTTTAATAGGAATGGAAGTGGAGTCTACTAAAAATCACAGTATTTGTTCTAGTTGAAACTTCGGGGAGCTTCTTTTTATTTCCCTGAAATTTTTCATACAGATACTTTCCTGACATTATTTTTTGTAGCTGCAGGTATATTCTGATTTTTTCCAAGGAGCTTGTAAACAAATTTGAAGTTTCTATAAACAGTTATTTTAATCTTATAATGTTACAGCTCCTAGTTTGAGACCAATCCCAACACACCTATCATGGGACTTTCCCCTAGGTAGTTCCCATTTTGATAAATCACATAGTAGAATACTTGAGACTTTCTGGCTCAGTTATGATTTGGAGCAAAAAATTTTGATAGATATCCTGAATTTGTTTTAATGGAAGTACTACTTGATTAGGTTCTTGACATTTAACACTTAATTTAGAAACATTTTCACAATAATATGAAAACCTGAAAATGAGAAATGTAATTGTATACATCATCAGAATCAAACCTGTCAGGAAGTCAAGTGAAGAAGACATGTGAACAGTTTCAGAACAAAGTGGAAGCATTTCAACTTGCATTGCCTGAAAATAGGGGCAGTACTCCAAAACTCTACCAACACATTAATTTTTTTGAAGTTTGGTATTGGAGATAATTTAGCAAAAGGAAATTAGTAATCAAAAGAATATTATAAACTTACCTTTTCCTGGGTAACAGACCTATTCCGATTACTGAGATTTACAGATAATGCATTTGAAAGTCCATCAAAATATAGGGAAAAAAATCTCCATAAGAGATATCTGGCTATTTTGTTTTCATGAATGTAAACATCTATATTTATATTCTGAGGGTGGGCACGTTTGGTAGGTATAAAGTGTTATCTGTAGAATTGGGAGGGAGTCTACAGGCAGCTGTTAAAAAGATCTGGCCTAAAATTGACCTACTTAGTGGGATTCAAAGAATCCCTAGCAAATGTACCTGAACATTATTATCGAATCATTACCATACCCTTACTGTATTAAAAAATTCTCATGCACTTTACTTGGTAGTAAATAGAGTTTAAAAAAGCCTTATATACTCAAAATATTGATGTACCAAAGAAGATAAACAGCCACAGAATGAAAACATTTATGCTTCAGTTAAAAATATTTGGATGTTGGCAGCATCACAATACCCACTTCTCACAGTAAAGAAGATCCTTTGGGGTAGATAAAGAATATCTCATGAAATTATCAAAATACTTGACTATTAATGACTTTAGTGGCCCACAGAGAAACAGAAAATATTGATACTGAAAAAATGAACTTGAAGGGGAGTAGATATAATCTGTTTCAGATTTTCTTACCAGATATTGGTTCGAAATTAAACCAAAATATTTGCAGGTGAAAGACGTTAGTTGAACATATAAATAGAAGCAACAGAGTGAGAGTTCGTCTTGTTATTCTCCTTACTGACACTTACTACCAAAGAAGCTTCATTACAGAGGTCTTGTGGGGGGACCATTTCTGGCGTCGTGGTGAGAAGATTACACCTAGTTTTTCCGGAATCGGAGGCTACGTACAGATTGTAGGAGTAAGGCAGTGTTCCTTCGCTGAGGTTGGGAGAAACCCCCAGTTCAGTCCTAGAACAGAGACCAGGCTGAAAGCAGCTCCAGGTGGGGCTGGAGGAGCGTCTCAGGCGCAGAGCGATGGCCAGAATCACCGCGAGGAGGAAGAACACAGAGATCAAGGCCAAGGCCACCACCAGATAGAACTGCAGATCAGCCTCGGGGTCAGATGGTGCGGGGCGATCGCGGAGGTCTGGCAGCCCCTCTTGCGAGCTGTCCGCGAAGACTAGGTACAGCGTGGCGGTGGCTGAAAGGGGTGGCTGTCCTCCGTCTCGTACTGCGACCAGCAGGCGCTGGCGGGCTGCGTCCCTGTCGCCCAATGCACGCGCTGTGCGCACCTCGCCCGTGGGCATCCCGAGGCTGAAGAGCCCGGGCTCGCTGGCCTGCAGCACGTGGTAGGACAGCCAGGCGTTGTGTCCCGAGTCTGCGTCCACCGCCACCACCTTGGTGACCAGGTAGCCCGGCTGCGCCGCCCGTGGCACCGTGTCGAAGAGCGCCGAGCCGTCGGGTCCCAGCGCCGGGTACAGCACCCTGGGAGCGTTGTCGTTGCGGTCGTCCACCCACACGCGCAGGCTGACGTTGGCGCTGAGCGCGGGCGAGCCCTGGTCACAAGCCTGCAGCGTCAGCTCGAAGGCAGGTAGCTGCTCATGGTCGAAGGCGCGTTGCGCGAACACCACCCCGCTCTGTGAGCTCACAGACACGTAGGACGACAGCGCCCGAGGTTCCAGATCACTGGCCACTATAGAGTAGGAGATGCGGCTGTTGGGCCCTAAGTCCGAGTCGGAGGCGCTGACTTGAGCGATGAAGGCGCCAGGAAGGTTGTTTTCGGCCACGTGGACCACATAGGAGGCCTGGTGGAAAACCGGAGCGTTGTCGTTGACGTCGGCGACGTGCAAAGTGACGCTTGTACTGGAGGAGAGGGGCGGCTTCCCCTTGTCAGTGGCCGTAATGGTGATGTTGTACTCCGGGGTTTGCTCCCGGTCCAGGGTCCCGTCTGTTACAAGCTTGTAGTAGTTACTGGCGGAAGATTCAATTCTAAAAGGAACGTTTTCTTCAATGAGGCATGTAATCTCCCCATTTTCCTCAGAATCTTTATCATGTGTTTTGAACAGAGCTATCACCGTGCCAGGTTCTGCATCCTCTGTAATGGAACTGGCTACCGAAGTGAAAACCACGTCTGGGGCATTGTCATTTTCATCTAGAATGTCTAGTATAATTTTACATTCAGTGGCCATGCCTCCTCCGTCCTTGGCTTCTATGTTCATAGTATAGCTGCTACTGATTTCGAAGTCTATAAGGTCTCTGGATTTGATTTCTCCGCTTTGATGGTCTAACATAAACATATTTCCAACATCATCTCGTAGAGTTTTAAAAGAGTAGGTAATCTCAGCGTTGACACCCTCGTCCTGGTCGGTGGCGGTTACCATTATCACAGAGGTGCCTGGGGGCACATTCTCACGCAGGCTGACTCTGTATTCATCCTGGCTGAACACTGGGGGGTTATCGTTGGCGTCGGTGACCTCGATCCGGATTTCGGTGGTGCCAGTTCGTACAGGGTCGCCCCCGTCCACCGCTGTTAGGACCAGGAGGTGGGAGCTCTGCTGCTCCCGGTCCAGGGGCTTCTCCAACACCAATTCTGGGGCGTTCTTGCCTTTAGTCTTGTCTTTCACCATTAGAGAAAAATGCTCATTAGAGCTGAGTCGGTAACTCTGGAGAGAGTTGCGCCCTACATCTGCGTCTATAGCGGATTCCAGGCCAAACCGAGAGCCTCGAATTGCTAATTCATTGATTTGTAAAACAAAGCCATCTTGGGGAAAATGTGGTGGATTGTCATTTATATCTTCTATTATCACGTTTATGTGAAAAACATTTAGGGGATTCTCTGCTACAATCTCTAAGGGCAGGACACAAAGAGGTTTTCGGGGACAGAGCGACTCCCGATCTATTCTGTCACTGACGAGTATGTTCCCGTCGTCTGTGTTCACGGTAAAGTATTGTTTCTCCGCACTAACTCTGAGGTTGCGGGTCAATAAGTCCCGTACGTGCAGCCCCAGGTCCTCAGCCAGGTTCCCCACCACTGAGCCCCTGGCCATTTCTTCGGGAATAGAGTAGCGGATCTGCTCCGAGAGGGCCCCGCAGAGCAAAGGCAGCAAGAAGAGAAAGAGTACTTGCCGCCGCCAGATCCCGCTCCTTTGTTTCGCGCTATTTGCCATTCTTCTCGCGGGTCGCTGCAGCCTCGGACGTTAAGAAAAGATGCTTTACAAATCGCTTTAAAAATATTTACTTCCAGCACGTAAAAAAATCAATGTTCCCAGTCTGAGGACTTCCCAGTACGTTTCCGGAATCAGATTTGCCGAGTCCGCGTCACTCTCATTTCTGACTTGCTTCTGTGACTGCGCAGAAAATCATCCGGGTAGATCGCCTGCTCCACCTCTAGTAGCGCGTTGGCCAATAGCGGCGCTCAGAGTCGACTTTAGAAAACTGCAGTCAGAATCTTTTGTAAATTCAGTGGGATTCGGTATTCAGACAGAAGTGTTGGACCAGTGTGTAGAGAACTAGGCAGGCCGAGTTTTGAATGCGTCTTTTTTCCCAGTGTTTACAACCCAGGAAGGTTCCTTAAAGATGGGATCCTATAGAAGTGCCATTAATTCGGTAATGGCGGATTAAAAGCTTGTCTTTTTCTATTTAGAGGCAACGTACACACTGGAAGAACAAGGCAAAGTCTTCTCTCCAGACTTAGAACAAAGAGCATGAGGGAAAACAGCCCCACCAAGTGGTATGGAGAAATTTTGACAGTCACAAAATGACACCCAGTATTACGTTCAACCTGATGTTTGGATAAATTTCCTCCTTTTATCAGAGGAAACTGAAAGAGAGCTGAAAGTTATATAAAGCATACTCAGGGTAAGGATTGCCAATGCCATAAAATCTTCCTTGTTACTTAAAAGGAGACTTATGGCAATACTTATTAGTGTTTTCAACTTTCATAAAGAGAATATAAAGGTATAGCCTAGCAGGTTACCATAGGAATTTAGTAACATGAAATGTAAAGGTGTTTCATGTTTATCCTCATATGTTGCACCTTAACAGAACTTTATAATTACCTCTAAGTCAAAATAACCTTCTTAATATCAAGTTTCGAAGCCAACCCTTCTTTTTATTTTCCAAGATCTTGGTTACCAGCTCCTAACTAATCCACGCTATGTAAAAAATATGGAACAATCTCCCTCTCTCAGCCAAACACCTTATGTTCTTTTTATCCATTTAACTCCAGTTCAAGCACAATATCTTAAGTCTTTTTTCTCAGTTTGAAATTCCATAAGCATAATACTATCCCTAGATGCTCAGAACACTCAAACATTTTTTCAGGACTTCCAGACAAATCAAGGCATCTTTTGGAGGACTCCTGTCTCCTGTAGTTGAAATTCTTCTCGCCCAAGCACCAGATACTTAATTTACAGTTTACATTAAGGTCAATTGATGAAGGAGAAACATAAAATTAAAAGGGAACATGAATATGCAAGTAATTTGGGCCAAATATCTAGGAGTAGTGTGAGAGTGCTGCACTGAGCTGATGATGGAGATGATTCCTGTGACCAAATACCCGAGATAAGGCTCCTTCCCTCATTTTCCTAGACATGCCTCAGATAACATGTATGGCATTAGGTGCCTATCAAGGCTTCAATAACAAGTTGGTCTTGAATATAAGAATTGAGTATACTTACGTGTGATACAAAATGAGCTTATGAGGGAAAGACTGGGAAAATTCATGATTCCAAGGCATATTGAAAATAAATGAACAAACAAAAATACCCAGAGGAATACAAGCTAAATCAGTCATTTACAAAGTCTAAATACCCACCGCATCTCTTATATTCACAAACTATTCTATATGAATATATCTGAAAAAGTAAGCATCTTCAGCAGATTTGAAGACAACTTTATGAAAAACACTGTATGAAAATTAAGTTGTTTCTATATGTGAATTTAAATTTAAAGTCTTTAAAGTGTTAAAAAGCAAAAATGTTACTTTAAGGACTAAGGTGTGCCTGACCCAAGCCACGGTGTTTTTGATCACCTCATATGTATGCAAAAGCTGGACAATTAATAAGGAAGACCAAAAAGGAATTGAGTTATGGTGTTGGCAAAGAATGTTGAATATACCTTGGACTGCCAAAAGAATGAACAAATCTGTCTTGGAAGAGGTACAGCCAGAATGCTCCTTGGAAGTGAGGATGGCGAGACTTCATCTCACATACTTTGGACATGTTATAAGGAGAGACCAGAGTAAACAGTCAGCGAAAAAGAAGAAAACCCTCTACAAGATGGATTCACACAGTGGCTGCCACAGTGGGCTGTAGCATAACAACGATCATGAAGATGGTGCCGGACCAGGCAGTGTTTCATTCTGCTGTACATAGGGTCGCTATGAGTCAGAACCGACTTGATGGCACCTAACAACAACATATATGAATTGACTAGATTTTAAAACCCTCAACACATACACACACAAACAGTCAACATAAGCAAAAGAATAAAAGGAAGTAACACCAGCTCAACAATTCAATTATTTCTTTACAACAACCCAACAATTTCACAGTAGAAAAATAAAATGTCTGGAACTTAAGAAAATAAATGAATTCTATATTTCCTCTTCCAAGAGCCCGTTAAATTAAAAGGCAGTCAATATGTCTGGTTTGGTAGCATGAAGCAACGAAACAAAGCTGAAATACTCAACAGGATCTAAACATATTACCAGCCATTAAGAATCAGAATAGAATTGTTTTGTGCTCAGAAAAAGCTCCTGTGTGTAGATGTATGTATGTGTGTATGCATACTTGTGTATATATGTGTGTGTGATATATATAAAAGAGAGCTAGACAGAGCATGCAATGGAAGCAATAGGGTCAAATCTGCACATTAGAATAGCAGATAATTTTAGAATATAATGCTAAATCAGTACAGGCAACTATAGGGAACAAAATAAGTTTTGGTATCATAATCAGCTTTACATTGATAACTACAGACACTGACAATAGAAAAATAATACTAAAACTCAATACAAAGTAAGCCATGATAGCTGAACTAGTCCTTTGGAATCAAAAGAAAAACATACCACCAGTAAAAAAATGGCTTTCACAAACCTTTCTGAAAAATGATGGTAGTTTGATGAAAGTACATAAACTCACATGTACTGCTCTAAATATGTAGTGTAAACTGAGTATGCCCACCCCCCCAAAAAGAGTTTTCATAACAGGATCAGAAAAAAGCTAATTGAAAGACTTGTGCCAAGACGCCAGCACTTGGGAGACAGGGAAATAAATCTCACCTGATTATTCGTTGGATCGCTTTTGCCTAAACCGGTAGCTAAGTCTTCAGCTACCAAGAGTGGCTCGCTTTTCTCATAGCTCTCCTGGCTGATGAGCGTATCAGCGTAGTTGGGCTGAGGGAAGATCAGGTGACTCTTCCGCGAGTCCGCGGTGAGGGAGACCTCGTGAGAATAGGTCTGCAGGAAGGCCTGCACCCGGTCCACACCCACAAAGTGCGAGGCAGGCGCGCCAGTCAACGCTTCTCCCGGAGCCTGGAGCAGGCGCGATGAGTGCCAGCGCCTCAGCCTGAGCGCCAGCAGCACGAGGACAAAGGCGAGGAAGACGCAGGAAACCGTGGTCACAGCCACCACCAGGTACAGCGTGAGTCCGGAGTCGTCAGGGTTGGCGGGAGACTCTAGGCTGCCCAGATCGGCCAGCACATCGGGGATGCTGTCGGTCACGGCCACGGTGAGCGTGACGGTGGCCGAGAGAGGGGGCTGGCCGTGGTCCTGGACGGCCACCACGAGGCTCTGCTTGAGCGCGTCTCTGTCCTGCAGGGCCCGCGCCGTGCGTACCTCGCCCGTGTGCACTCCCACCGCGAAGAGCCCTGGCTCGCTGGCCTTGAGCAGGCGGTAGGACAACCAGGCGTTCTGACCTGAGTCACGGTCAACAGCCACCACTTTGGTCACCAAGTAGCCGGGCTCTGCAGAGCGGGGCGCCAACTCCACTCCAGTGGAGCCGTCGCTAGGAAGGGCGGGGTACAAGATCTCCGGTGCGTTGTCGTTCTGGTCCAGCACGAACAGGCTTAGTGACACGTTGCTGCTGAGCGGCGGGTACCCGCTGTCGCGTGCCGTCACCCACAACTGCAGGTCGTGGAACTGCTCATAGTCGAAGGAACGCAGTGCGAACAGGACTCCAGTGTCGGAATTGATGGAAATGTAGGAAGACAGAGGCGCCCCCTGGATGGTGTCCTCGGCCAGAAAGTAAATAACTCGGGCGTTCTCTTTGCTGTCCGGGTCGTGGGCTGTCACTGAGAAGATGGAAGAGCCTCTAGGATTGTTTTCAGGAATGTAGGCTGAGTAAGTGGAGTGAAGGAAAGCAGGCGCGTTATCGTTGTCATCGGCCACATTCAACGAGATGTGAGTTTCTGTAGACAAAGGCGGACTTCCCTGGTCTGTGGCTGTCATCGTTATATTGTAGCTCTGGACCTGCTCCCTGTCCAGTGCTTTGCTTGTTATCAACTTGTAGTAATTTCCGTAAGTCTTTTCTAACTTAAAAGGCAAATTTTTAGGAATGAAACAGGAGACCTGACCATTTTCTTCAGAGTCTTGATCTTGCACGTTAAGAAGAGCAATTACCGTACCTGGAGGAGAGTTTTCCAGCACTGAATTAGTAGAAGAGGTAATAGTTATTTCTGGAGCATTATCATTTACATCTACAACAGTGATCAACAGCTTAGCGATGGTCACCAGACCTCCACCATCTTGGCCTTGAATTTCCATCTCATAGAATCTATATTTCTCATAATCCAGAGACCCTCGTATTAGGACTTCTCCAGTTCGAGAATCCAACTGGAATATTTCCGAAACTTTGCTTTCTGTATTCCGGAATGAATACATCACTTCCCCATTGACTCCTTCGTCTGGATCCGTTGCGTTTACCACGAGCACCCGAGTTCCGGAGCTGAGGTTCTCAGGAACACTCACTCGATACACAGACTGTGTAAACTTTGGGATGTGGTCATTTACGTCGAGGACCACCACCCGAATGGGAACAGCGCCCTTGCGGATGGGATCGCCTCCATCTAAAGCTGTAAGGAGGAGGAGGTGAGCAGCCTCTTTCTCTCGGTCCAGAGCCTGTTCCAGCACTAGCTCTGGATTCTTGACTCCATCGCTTCCGCCTCGCACGTGCAAGGAGAAGTAACTATTAGGGCTGAGCTGGTAGCTCTGGAGGGAGTTCACGCCCACATCTGGATCCTTAGCATTAGGAAGGGGGAATCGCAATCCCGGAGTTGCGTGCTCACTGATTTTTATCTCTACTTCCTCTTCCCGGAAGCTGGGGGCGTTATCATTAATATCCATTATTTCTACCTCCACTCCATAAATCTTCAAGATGTCTTCCGCAAGAATCTCCATATTTAAAAGACAGGCGGAAACCATCTCACAGAGCTCCTCCCGGTCTATCCTGCCTGCTGTGATCAAGCTGCCGCTTCGCGGGTTCAGAGCGAAAAGCTGCGTCCTACCTCTGGAGACGATGCGGACTCCGCGCTCCGCCAGCTCCCTGGGCTCCAGCCCCAGGTCCTTGGAGATGTTGCCCACAAAGAAACCTTTGTCCGTCTCTTCGGGTACGGAGTAGCGGATCTGTCCTGCCCGGGACTCCCGCAGTGTCCCCAGGAAAATGCACAGCAGGACCAGTCCGCCGCGGTCCAGGCGCGGAAGCCGATCAACCATGGCAGTGTCTGAGCCCAATATTCCGCGGTTTCTTGCGTCAGTTTGTTTCTGCATCAGTTTGTGTGTCTACGAATTTCGGGCCGTCATCATCCAAAATATATTAGAGAAGGAAGGGAAATGCTTTAAGATTCCAGCATCAGGCTCGGTGAGTATCCATCTCATTCCGCTTTGTGTGGCAGAGGTGGGGGAGGGAGGGACTCGAGCGCTCGCAGCTTCCCATTCCCTGATTGGTGAACAGCGGCGCCTAGAGCCCAATCTTATTTTTGCAACATGTAAGAAAAACCCAACTAATGTGCGGGTCAGGAAGAAATGATTACTTACCTCTTTGAGAATCACACGTATTTGTAAGGTTAAAATTGCAAACGATGAAGACTTACATGATTTTAAAAGTTTACCAAGAGCTCTTATGAAAGGAGGATGCATGGCTATAATTATTATCAATGTTTCTTTGAGTATAATGAAGACAAAACGTTTGAGAAAAGTTGAATCGCTTTGGGGTTGTCATTTAAAATAAGGATATATTCCACATCCTTAACTAAAAGGTACTTAACTTCATGAAATTTTTTTCTAGATTTCACTCTTGAATTTACCGTTAAATGCCTTTGAAAAGTAGGATTGAAGCATTGTTCACTTTAGTCTTAACAGTGATATCCATAGGTTTATCCTACATTGACTTTAGGAACTTTATGAAAAGATTACCTAGAATCTTGAAATAACAGTGCCATACAATATTGGAATATAAAAGCATTATTTTAAACACTTACCTGTTTAAAAGTCTTATCTGCTTCAACACTAGGTGTTAAAATGCTAGCCAATAGCACTGAGGGGCTATTTTTGTTGAGACTATCTTGGGTGGCTGGACAATGATCAACAGATGTGAGAAAATTAAATTCTGGATTAGCTTGATCCTCAGGCACACACAAATTATAGGCATAGGGCAGTGTTCCCTCACTGTAGTTGGGAGGAACCCCGGGATCAGACTTGGCACAGAGAACAGACCCAAAGCAGCCCCCGGAGGTGGGACTGGAGGAGCGTCGCAGACGCAGGGCGACGGCCAGAGTCACCGCGAGGAGGAAGAGCACAGAGATCAAGGCCAAGGCCACCACCAGATAAAACTGCAGCTCGGCCTGGGGGTCAGAGGGCGCGGGGCGGTCGCTGAGGTCCGGCAGCGCCACCTGCAGGCTGTCTGCAAACACCAGGAGCAGTGTGGCGGTGGCTGAAAGGGGTGGCTGCCCTCCGTCACGCACTGCGACCAGCAGGCGCTGGCGGGCCGCGTCCCTGTCGCTCAAGGCACGCACTGTGCGCACCTCGCCCGTGCGCAGCCCCAGGCTGAAGAGCCCGGGCTCGCTGGCCTGCAGCACGTGGTAGGACAGCCAGGCGTTGTGTCCTGAGTCTGCGTCCACCGCCACCACTTTGGTGACCAGGTAGCCCGGCTGCGCCGCCCGTGGCACCGTGTCGAAGAGCGCTGAGCCGTCGGGTCCCAGCGCCGGGTACAGCACCCTGGGCGCGTTGTCGTTGCGGTCGTCCACCAGCACGCGCAGGCTGACGTTGGCGCTGAGCGGGGGCGAGCCCTGGTCACGCGCCTGCAGCGTCAGCTCGAAGGCGCGCAGCTGTTCGTGGTCGAAGGCGCGTTGCGCGAACACCACCCCGCTCTGCGCGCTCACAGACACGTAGGATGACAGCGCTCCAAGTTCCAGGTCGCTGGTCAGGATGGAGTAGCACACTTGGCCATTCGGCCCCAGGTCCGGGTCCGAGGCGCCGACGTGCGCTATGGAGGCGCCGGGAGGGTTGTTTTCTGGCACATGAACCACATAGGCGGATTGTCGGAAAACGGGTGCATTGTCGTTGACGTCGACGACGTGCAGGGTGAGGCTTATGCTGGAGGAGAGGGGCGGCTTGCCCTTATCGGTGGCTGTGATGGTGACATTATACTCTGGGGTCTGCTCTCGGTCCAGAGCCCCATCTGTTACTAGTTTGTAGTAATTCTTAGAAGAAGAGTGAATCTTGAAAGGCACATCTCTTTCTATGCTACACAAGACTTCCCCATTTTCCCCAGAATCCTGGTCCCTTGTTTTGAGGAGGGCTACCACCATTCCGGGACGGGAATTCTCCAAAATCTGATCAGAGAGAGAGGTGATTATTATTTCTGGAATGTTGTCGTTTTTGTCCAGAACGTCTATGATTATTTTACACTGTGTAGAAAGAGATCCTCTGTCCTTTGCTTCCACATCCATCGTATATCTTTCTACTTCTTCAAAATCCAAGGCTTGATTAGTTATAATGTCTCCTGTAGTTGAATCCAGAGAAAACACATGCTGGGCTTTGTCAGCCACATTAAGAAAGGAGTAGGTGATTTCCGCGTTGACGCCTTCGTCCTGGTCGGTGGCCCTCACCCTCAGTACGGAGGTGCGAGGGGGCACGTCTTCCCTTAGGCTGACCCTGTACATGTCTTGGCTGAACACAGGGGGGTTATCATTGGCATCCACTACGTGGATCCGGATCTGTGCCGTGCCGCTTCGGGGCGGGTCCCCGCCGTCTAAAGCCGTCAGGACCAAGTGGTAAGCGCTCTGCTTTTCTCGGTCCAGGGTCTTTTGCAATAGTAATTCTGGATATTTGCTACCATCGGGATTGTCTTTCACCACCAACGAGAAATACTCATTAGGACTTAAGTGGTATTTGTTCAGTGAATTCATATTAATATCGGGATCTTTTGCCGACTCAAGAATTGTTCCCATTCCTGGGCTGACAGATTCACTGATTTCTAAGTTTATTTCATCTTTACGGAATTGAGGGGCGTGGTCATTAATATCCTCAACAACCACAATGACATGAAAAATATTTAAAGGATTTTCCACCACGGCTTCCAACTGCAACTCACATATTCTTCTCTCTCTGCATATCTCTTCACGATCTATCCGGTCCTTCACAAGCAAGTCCCCACTCTCTAAGTCTACGTTGAAATGCGGCTTCTCAGCGCTAACTCGTAGTTTCCGAGCCGACACATCCAGGACGCTGAGCCCTAGGTCTCTGGCGAGGTTCCCCACCACCGAGCCCTTGGCCAGCTCCTCAGGAATCGCGTAGCGGATCGGCTCGCAGAGCGCGGGGCAGAGCAAAGGCAGCAGGAAGGCAAACAGTACCTGCCGCAGGCCGGCCGAGCGCCTCTGCGCGCAGCTCCCTCCCATTCCGCGCTCCAGTTCTCTCCTGGCCCCCGCGTTTCTGGAAAGCTGAAGAAACTGCAATCCCCGGCGTCCCTGCAAGAGCATTTGGCCCAGGACAGGCAGAGTCCCCAGTCTCGGGTCTGGGAATCCGTGTGTGCTGGGCAGGGTCTGCGTGGCTGCGAGCTTCAGTGTGTGAGCGTGTTTCCTTCTCTCGGTGTTTGTGGCTGCGCAGGAAATCCCAGATTGGAGGCTGAGGGATCCCGGGTATCAGCGTTTGCTCTGCACTGGCCGACAGCGGCGCCCAGAGGCTGAGTGTGGGATTGCAGCCTAGCTTTTCTCTCCATCTCTATTTCAGGAAATCTTTTTCTTTAGGTACAAGTTGACAAGAGCTAAACTGTTTGAATCTTACAGACACGCCATGACTATCATATCTTTTCATACAGTAAAAATTTGAATTTATTTTGAATAGATGAAAGTTTTTATTTTAGAATAAAAAAGTGAAAAAGAATAGAGTGAAAAGTTGGACTCCTCTCCCAATGCCCACTGCTATCCAGTTCCTCCATCCAGAGGCAATCACTGTTGTTACTGCTAAGGGTAATTATTCACGAAGCTGATAGTATTTAATATAAGCAAAAAAATTTTGTCTTCAATCCAAGCCCATATTTACCTAGAAAGCAATCATCTTTTCCACCTATTTTTAGGAACCAGAGTGCAGCCATTCCCATATTCACTACAAACATCCAGATTGCCGTGCACTGCATTTAAATACTTATATTTAAAAACATTTACTTACAATAGCTACAGTGTCAAAGAGTAGTTTTTAACCAATATTTTTCAAAATAAAGGAATTATTTGAGATGGATGTATGATAATTTTGACTTTCATGAAGATAAGTTTAAATGATAGTTTCGATGATTTAATGGTTAATACCTATGGCCCTGAAGGTCGTGCTCTCCTTCCACAGACCTATCACTGAACAACTGTTAATATGAAAAAACAGTCATGTTCTCGTAGTATTTGGCACACATTAGAACATTCTTTGACTTTATGCTACCATATTAATTTAAAAGAATATAATAATTTCAAAATAAGAGATCAAACCAAATACATCACTATATTCAATGAACTATACAGGTTCATCGGTTACTCCAGTGATACTTTTAGAATAATTTTGTGTACTTCTCTGCTTATATTTTAATCTCCTGCAGAGATGACATTTCTTTCTTGACTCTAATAGTTTCTACTCTCAAAATGAGAGGTAAGATTTCCTTTTCTCTACAGTAAGGGGCCATTGAAATATCTTTGGCAAACATCCCTAGTTCCTGTTCTTGGAAACATATACCTAAATCTATCTGCCTCCCCAATCTATATTTTTTTGCAGCCTTAGAGGAGAATTTAACAAAAAATACAAAGAGAGCAGAAATCAAAATTTCCTTGAGTTAACCTTCTATAGGCTCTGTAGACTCCCTATTGCGCAAGGAAAGTCAAATTAAAATGCTGTATCTTCCACACAGCACTATGAAATTAGAGAATCACCGGCAAAAGGATGCTGCAGTGTTACCAGGTATGATTACAGTTATGAATTGTTAATAGACCACCAATGAAAAGTTTAAATCTATCTAGGAAGTGTTTTCAACTACAAACTCAGTTTGAAAACTATAGTTGAAAATTATAACTACAAAGGTACATTGTCCTTCTTGTGAAGAACAACATTCAATGACATTTGGCTTTGGGTTGTGTTTCCAGTAAAGCTCATACATTTGTTTCTGATATTTATCTGTTCTCACCAGATCTGCCTTCAAGACAAGAGCTATATCCTGAAGAAGTCTAAGGGGCTAGGGTTTCAACATGTAGCCACCCAGGAAGGGCACAAATTGACTGACACAGCTCTACACAAGTCCTCTACCAGGAATTGGCAATATTATAATCAACAAGATTATAAAATATAAGGCTCTGCAAAACTAATCACAGCAGCGTTAAGACAAGAGGCCTTCATTGGGACTAGGTGAATATTTACCAGAAAGTAAAAGAAGTCAGCTTTGATAACCAATAATTTTCACTCTCTGATGTTTTCGAAAGGGGCAAGTGCCATTGAAACTGATGGAAAAGTGATGAAAACTTGAAGATTGACTTTTTCCATCAAGCTGCAAACCTAAAAGTAAAACCAGTCATAAATTTTAGAATGAAAGAAAATGAATAAAAATAGAACTCACTGGAACCAAAGGGGTATCTTCTATAGGAAACCTCGAATCATCTAACAAAGGACCCTTTTTCTCGCAGCTCTCCTGGCTGATGAGCGTGTCTGCGTAGTTGGGCTGAGGGAAGATAATGTGGCTCTTCCCGGAGTCCGCAGTGAGGGAGACCTCGTGGGAATAGGTCTGCAGGAAGGCCCGCACCCCGTCCACGCCCACAAAGTGCGAGGCAGGCAGGCTTGGCATTACGCTGTCGGAAGCTTGGAGCAGACGCTTTGTGTGCCAGCGCCGCAGTTTGAGCGCCAGCAGCAGGATGACAAAAGCGAGGAAAACACAGGAGACACTGGCCAGGGCCACCACCAGGTAGAGCGTGAGGCCCGAGGCATCAGGGTCGGCAGGGGGCTCGAGACTTTCCAGATCGGCCAGGACGTCGGGGATGCTGTCCGCCACTGCCACGGTGAGTGTGACCGTGGCCGAGAGAGGGGGCTGGCCGTGGTCCTGGACGGCCACCAAGAGGCTCTGCTTGAGAGCGTCTCTGTCCTGCAGGGCCCGCGCTGTGCGCACCTCGCCCGTGTGCACCCCCACCGCGAAGAGCCCTGGCTCGCTGGCCTTGAGCAGGCGGTAGGACAGCCAGGCGTTCTGTCCTGAGTCGCGGTCCACAGCTACCACCTTGGTCACCAGGTAGCCAGGCTCTGCAGAGCGGGGCGCCAGCTCCACGCCGGTGGAGCCATCGGTGGGGAGGGCAGGGTGTAAGATCTCGGGAGCGTTATCATTTTGGTCAAGCACGAACAGGCTCAATGACATATTACTACTGAGCGGCGGGTCCCCGCTGTCACACGCCGTCACCTGCATCAGCAACTCTTGAAACTGCTCATAGTCGAAGGAGCGCAGAGCATACAGGACTCCAGTGTCGGAACTGATGGAGACGTAGGAGGACAGGGGCGCTCCCTGGACGGTGTCTTCAGTCAGTGAGTAAGTGACCTGGGCGTTCTTCTCGCTGTCAGGGTCGTGTGCAGTTACCGAAAAGATGGAGGCGCCTCTGGGGTTGTTTTCTGGAATGTAGGTGGAGTAGAACACATAAGAGAAGGTGGGTGGGTTGTCATTGATGTCTGCCACGTGCAGGGTGAGGTGAATTTCTGTTGATAGAGGTGGACTTCCCCCATCTGTGGCTGTTACCGTGATATTGTAAGAGGATACCAGTTCCCTGTCGAGGGCACTGTGCGTTACCAATCTATAATAGCTGTCAATGGACTTTTCTAATTTAAATGGCAGATTCCCCGAGATGGAGCAGGTGACCTGTCCATTCTGCCCAGAGTCTAGATCGTGCACGTTTAAAAGGGCTATAACAGTCCCCAGAGGGGAATCTTCAGTCACTGGACTAAACAGAGATGTAACGGTCACCTCCGGACTGTTGTCATTTACATCTTCGACGTTAATCAGAACTTTTGCAGTTGCAAGATATGCTCCTCCATCTTCCGCTTGTATTTCTATTTCATAGACGTCCGTTTCTTCATAATCTAGATTTTCTGATATTTTTATCTCCCCAGTATTTTTGTTTAGCTGGAATTTAAACAAGTGTGTGTCCCCCCGTAATTTTCGGAATGAATATATCACTTCCCCATTGGCGCCTTCGTCCCTGTCGGTGGCTGTAACCGTCAGCAGCCGTGTGCCCACAGGCAGGTTTTCGAGAACACTCACTCGGTATTCTGGCTCGGTGAAGACCGGCGCATTGTCATTTGCATCGAAGACAGTCACACTGACAAGGGCAGTGCCAGATTGGAGAGGGTCACCCCCGTCGGAGGCGGTGAGGACCAGATGGTGCACTGCCTCTTCCTCGCGATCCAGGGCGCGCTCCAGCACCAGCTCCGGGTACTTGATGCCGTTGGCTCGGCTCTGAACCCGTAGGGAGAAGTGCTTATTCGGGCTGAGCTGGTAGCTCTGTAGGGAGTTTACGCCCACATCCGGATCCATAGCTTCCGGGAGTGGAAAACGCATCCCTGGAGGGACGTTTTCATTAATTTTTACGTCTAGATTTTCTGCTTGGAATTTTGGGGCATTATCGTTAATATCAGTTACTTCTATTTCTATCGCGAAAAGCTTCACCCTATCTTCAACAAGGATGTTAAAATTCACCAGACACCTCGCACTCTGAGCGCAGAGCTCCTCCCGGTCTATCCTTCCCGCCGTGATCAAGCTGCCGCTTTGCGGGTTCAGAGCAAAGAGCTGCGTCCTACCTCTGGAGACGATGCGGACTCCGCGTTCCGCCAGCTCCCGGGGCTCCAGCCCCAGGTCCTTGGATATGTTCCCCACGAAAGAGCCTTTGTCTAATTCCTCAGGAAGGGAGTAGCGGATCTGCCGGGCTCCGCTCTCCCACAGCATGGCGATGAAAAGACAGAGCAGGACCAGCTCGCTGCGATCGGGGCGAATTCTTTGAGAGACCATTGTTATCTGGAAACGGGAAGTCTCTTAAATTCCTCAGTGGGCACGTTGTGTGTTTCAATCCCTTCCTTCCTTCTGTGGCTGCAGGGAGTCTCTGTAACCCGCGCACCTTAAATTCTGGACTGAGTTTCCCTGCAGTTCCGGAGTCGGTTTGTAGAAACTGTGGGGCTTGGTGTAGTTGGAGCCCGGAGAATCCTGATGGAAATAGGCCTGCGTTTCTCTCCTAGTAGGTGAACAGCGGCGCTCAGAGTCCTAAGAAGTTACTGCACCCACTGTATATGCAATAGAAAGCAAATGCTATTTGGTTTTTGTTGGATATTTTACCTTACTTCTTTGGTTCCGGCACTCTCACAGGTAAATAAATTACTATTTGTAGGTCACTTGGTGGAGGATAAAATGGAAGTAAAGTACTATAAAATATTACATAATAAGAGTTGATTAAACATATTTGCAACACCTATTTTCCCAATAGAAACATGCCCTTTTTAAAAGGAAAATAATGATTATTTTATTTGATTTTCTAGCTATATTCAGAAAAGTCTTACAATTTTATTTGAAATTGTGATTTAAATGGTCCAGTTATATTTGCAAACAATCATATGAAGTCCATATTGATATACTTCTTATGAGATAATTTACTTTAAAGCTTTTTAAAATTTAGATTTAATTTCACTAAATTTGTTTAGCACTAAGATTGTGGTAAGAGATTTTCAAAATGCTGCTTTCTAAAATAATTTTATTGAGTTTTAATGTATTTAAAATATATATACTTCTTCATATAGGCATATAATTTAACCTATTTAAATGAATTGAGCAGCATAATCACAAGCTAAAAGGAATACATATTACAGTTGAAAATTAAAATACTTGTGTTGTAATGAGAAGAGAAAAATGTGCTAGAACTTGAAGTGCTGTGAAATTTTAAAATGGAATTAGAGTGAAGTAGAATTTTTTTTGGATAAGTGTTTATGTCAAATGACCTGTTCTTATCAGGGCATTGATGCCAACTTAAATAATTTCTTCTCTTAGGTAGTTCATACAGAAACCCAAAGTAAGTGGTTCACACATCTTCAGTTGTGTGTGTCCATCAACCCAGCAGCAGTTCTTTCCTCAAAGATAAAGGTTTGGAGTTTCGCATCTTTCCTATGGGTTTTCCAGAAAGGTTTTTGTCACCATGCCTCCAAGTATGGAACACTTCAAAGATTTTATCTTGGTTCTTCAAGGGCTTTATAGCAGAGAATCAGAGACAGAAAGCAAAAGGCAATGACATTTCATTTGCTTTCTTGGACATTTCTTTATCTTCCAAAGTAGAGGAAAAAAGATTGGGAATGAACTCAATTTAAGCTCCAAGAAAAGATAAGGACCCTGGTGTGCAGCATGTTGTAAGATAATACAGAAGAAAACCAGAAACCCCAAAAGTTGAAAAGAAAAATTCCTTTAGGGCAATGAGTTTCAGTTTTGGGGATCATGGAAATCTTGGCAATATGAACAAAGTTTTGATTCTTCTTCTAAGAAAAATGCATACACCTTTGCATACAATTTCAGGGAGTTCTTGGATCTGCTGACCACACCCTCCTTGGATGCTTACAGTTTGGAAAAAAGAAACTATTAAAATAGATGAAGAAAGATACCTAAAGACACCTTAGAGATTCTTTGCAATTAATGTTTCTTGGAAAGGAGTACTTGCTTTGATATTTAATGCTTGTCTGAATATTTAAAAAACTAAAAAATGCATAAGTAGGATGTGGTAAATTCATGTTAAATCTCAGCAGGTTCGAATAGGCAGTATTTATTTATTTAGAAGCTAGGACTACTACCTCTACTTTGCTAATCAGAGCTTGACAAGATATCTCCAATGTGGTTGCATTCTACAGAGCAATTCATGAAACAAATCTTTTGAAAGATATATTTGGCAAAAAGTCGATGTTAAGAAGACAAGACGGTGATTGGCTATGTATTTTCTAAATAGGATTCTATATATGAAAATGAAGTAGTACTCTTGACATATGAGAAACTAGCAGATTAGAGAAGACACAAAAATGAAACTCACCGGTGTTAGAGTCTTGGGATGTGAAGTCAAATCATCCCCACAGTAAAGTGGAAATAAGTCCCCAGCAGAATCACCGTAAACTATGTCTTGTTTGGAATGCAAGGGCTCAGCACATTTTAGGAAATTAAACTCTGTCTTTCCCGTCTGCGCAACACACAGATTGTAGGAATAGGGCAAAGTTCCCTCGCTGTAGTCTGGGGGAACCACGGGTCCAGACTCGGAGCAGAAACCCGGCTGAAAGCAGTTCCAGGGGGCGGGGCTGGAGGAGTGTCTCAGGCGCAGGGCAATGGCCAGAATCACCGCGAGGAGGAAGAGCGCGGAGATCAAGGCCAAGGCCACCACCAGATAAAACTGCAGCTCTGCCTGGGGGTGAGAGGGCTCCGGACGGTTGCTGAGGTCCGGCAGCGCCTCCTGCAGGCTGTCTGAGAACACAAGGAGCAGCGTGGCAGTGGCTGAGAGGGGCGGTTGCCCTCCGTCACGCACTGCGACCAGCAGGCGCTGGCGGGACGCGTCCCTATCGCCTAAGGTGCGTGCTGTGCGCAGTTCGCCCGTGCGCAGCCCCAGGCTGAAGAGCCCGGGATCACTGGCCTGCAGCACGTGGTAGGACAGCCAGGCATTGTGCCCAGAGTCCGCGTCCACGGCCACCACCTTAGTGACCAGGTAGCCCGGCTGCGCTGCGCGCGGCACTGTGTCGAAGAGCGCTGAGCCGTCGGGTCCCAGTGCCGGGTACAGCACCCTGGGCGCGTTGTCGTTGCGGTCGTCCACCAGCACGCGCAGGCTGACGTTGGCGCTGAGCGGGGGCGAGCCCTGGTCACGCGCCTGCAGCGTCAGCTCGAAGGCGCGCAGCTGCTCGTGGTCGAAGGCGCGCTGCGCCGACACCACGCCGCTCAGCGCGTTCACAGACACGTAGGACGACAGGGCCTGCGGCTCCAGATCACTGCCCACGATGGAGTAGGACACTTGGCAGTTGGTTCCCAAGTCCAGATCGGAGGCACTGACGTGTGTTATGGAAGCTCCAGGCGGGTTGTTCTCAGCCACATGCACGACATAGGAGGCTTGGTGGAAAACTGGCGCGTTGTCATTGATGTCGGTGATGTGCAGGGTGATACTTTTACTGTAGGAGAGGGGTGGCTTGCCTTTGTCGGTTGCTGTAATGGTGATGTTGTATTCTGGAGTCTGCTCTCGGTCCAGGGTCCCATCTGTCACCAGCTTGTAGTAATTTGTAGAAGAAGAACGAATCTTGAAAGGAACGCCTTTTCCTATACTACACATGACTTCTCCGTTTTCCCCAGAATCCCGGTCCCGTGTTTTGATGAGGGCAACAACCATTCCAGGAAGAGAATTCTCCAAAATGTAATCAGAGAGAGAGGTGATGATTATTTCTGGGCTGTTGTCATTTTCGTCTAGGATTTCTATGATTACTTTACATTGAGTGGAGAGTCCACCTCCGTCCTTGGCTTCCACTTCCATGGTGTATCTTTCCACATCCTCAAAATGCAAAGACTGGATATTCTTAATCATACCTGTTTTCTCATCCACTGAGAACATGTGCCTTGCGCTCTGAGTAGTGCTCCGGAAGTAGTAGCTTATTTCAGCATTGATCCCCTCGTCCTGGTCAGTGGCTGACACCCGAAACACAGAAGTCCCTGGAGGTAGGTTTTCACTAAGACTGATTCTATATTCGTCTTTACTGAACACCGGGGGGTTATCGTTGGTGTCCCTGACAAAGATTTCTATGTTCGCTGTGGCACTACGGGGTGGGTCCCCTCCATCCAAGGCAGTCAGTATCAAGTGATGAGACCTCTGCTCTTCTCGGTCTAGAGGTTTCTCCAGAGATAACTCTGGGTATTTACCACCATCGGAATTAACTCTAACCAATAATGAGAAATAAGGATTAGAGTTTATCCGATAATCTTTAACTGAGTTCGTATTTATATCGGGGTCTGTGGCAGGGTCAAGAGATATTCGTGCACCAGCCGATACAGATTCAAAAATTTCTAAATGTATGTCCTTTTCATCGAATTGAGGGGCGTGGTCATTAATATCCTCAACAACCACAATGACATGAAAAATATTTAAAGGATTTTCCACCACGGCTTCCAACTGCAACTCACATATTCTTCTCTCTCTGCATATCTCTTCACGATCTATCCGGTCCTTCACAAGCAAGTCCCCACTCTCTAAGTCTACGTTGAAATGCGGCTTCTCAGCGCTAACTCGTAGTTTCCGAGCCGACACATCCAGGACGCTGAGCCCTAGGTCTCTGGCGAGGTTCCCCACCACCGAGCCCTTGGCCAGCTCCTCAGGAATCGCGTAGCGGATCGGCTCGCAGAGCGCGGGGCAGAGCAAAGGCAGCAGGAAGGCAAACAGTACCTGCCGCAGGCCGGCCGAGCGCCTCTGCGCGCAGCTCCCTCCCATTCCGCGCTCCAGTTCTCTCCTGGCCCCCGCGTTTCTGGAAAGCTGAAGAAACTGCAATCCCCGGCGTCCCTGCAAGAGCATTTGGCCCAGGACAGGCAGAGTCCCCAGTCTCGGGTCTGGGAATCCGTGTGTGCTGGGCAGGGTCTGCGTGGCTGCGAGCTTCAGTGTGTGAGCGTGTTTCCTTCTCTCGGTGTTTGTGGCTGCGCAGGAAATCCCAGATTGGAGGCTGAGGGATCCCGGGTATCAGCGTTTGCTCTGCACTGGCCGACAGCGGCGCCCAGAGGCTGAGTGTGGGATTGCAGCCTCGGTCTTCCGTTTTGAATCTAACTCATTATCTCCAGCATGTATATATTGCCCTTCGATGATGCAATTATATAACAGCCCCCATAGTTTCACCATAGTATTACAGAAGATATTTATATACTTGGCATTTTAGAGAGATTTATTGTGGACAATTTTAAACTTATACAAAAGCAGAGAGAACGGTATATTGAACCCCCATATACCCATCACCCAGCTTCAACTATTATCAACACAAGGCAATTTTGTTGAATGTATACTGCACTTTCCAATTGTTTTGAAGACATAGCACTTCAATTAACACTTCTTTTTAAGATGAGACACGGAAAAGGGCAGAAATTTTATCTTTACTCCTACTATATTCTATAATCTGTTACCAATTCACAATAAATCCTACCTAGTTGAAGAAAACTAGAATTCAGAATTTTCTACACTCTATCCAGTCATCCTTCGAGTGAGCTGTGTGTTCTGTTTTTAAAGGCAAGTGACATTTTTGCAGTAGAGAATAGTGAGTGACTGCCCACCATGACAGACACGCTTTCATCAATATCTATGCTACTACATTTTTCCAAATTAAAATACATTTTAATATTTATAAATACTAAGCACTAAAGGTTAATCCCCAGGACAGAAATTTTAAAATGACAATTTTCCTGTTGGATGGTTAAAAATACGACCCTGAAGGATGCTTTACTTCTTTCCCACTAGCAAAGGAACAGTGTCTGAAATAATTACCTCTGTATTAGTCTATATCTCTTAATGGATTTCCAGACGTGTTATTCTTTATTTGCTCATAAGTAAAACAATATGAGCTCCAAAAATAATTACAAAGGCAAAATAATTCTATTTCCATGGAAATGTCAGCAGTCATCAATAAATCTATGATTGCATGTTTAGAATAGAATTTTGTGTCAACTTCGAAGGTTATTTTCAAATCATTTTCTGGGAGTGTCATTTGTTAATTGACACTTGACAATTTATGCTTAAATAAAATTAATAGTAAATTATTCTTTTTCTTATCCCTAAAACCAGTAAAATATCCTTAAAACCTCCATAGCAGTTCCTGAGACTCTTTTCCTAAATAATCTCCTATATTCAGATTTATTTCCAGCCTCAAACGTTTAAGAATTGAGCCAGAAATAACAGATACTTGAAGCAAAATTTTTATTTCCCTTGTTTCGTCCATCCACCATCTCAGAAACCCCTCTTGCGTAAGCATAAACCATAGGAAGAAAGAGTGCAAACTATCCTTCATAATCTGACGTTAGGAATTTGTCAGATTCCTAGGATTATCCAGGAACATAAAATCTACATCATAATACAGCATTAGGAGCTTAAAACCCTTGGAGAGTATGGGAATAAGGATGTTATAATTTTCACCATTAAAGTATTAAAAGCATGCTTCACTATGGCTTGGAAATGGATGATATAACTAAAGTTTGAATCTTCCTCAGATTCAAGAAAGGTCTTTACATGCAAACAGCCTCTACACTTCAAAGGGGTGGTGACCAGTCATAGAAACAGGAGGGCATGAGCAGTGAATTTGGGTTTTGATAACTGTTTCTCTAAGAAGAATGCATTTGTTTTGTTATTAATTTACCCTTACTAAACAGATTTGCTTACAAAAATAGCATCAGCTGTAGAGATGGTTTTAGGGATAAGAATTTTACAACCTCGCCATTGGAAATATTAATCAATAAACTTCAGGAATGGAAATTCAGTCCTAGGAATTAGTAGTGAGCCACTGTAACCAATCACTGCAACCCGACCCAGTAGCAAATCACTGCAACCTGAAAGTCAGAATCAATGCAAGATAATGAGAGCAGCCCCAAGAGGAATAGCTTTCATTGAGATTAGGTTAATTATTATGAGATAGTGAAAACAGTATCAGTGATATAATCAATAAATGCATCCTTTAGAGGTTGGAACAAAAATTAGGCCCCATGAAAACTTCATTAAAATCACATTACCCTACCTGAAGTGTAGAAACCCAAAGAGAAAGCAACTTGTTAGAAGAAAAAGGATGAAACAGAACTTACTGGAACCAAAGGGGAGTCTTCTATAGGAAACTTGGACTCATCTGAAACACACAAAGGATTGCTTTTCTCACAGCTCTCCTGGCTGATTAGCGTGTCAGCGTAGCTGGGCTGGGGGAAGATCAGGTGACTCTTCCGTGAGTCCTTGGTGAGGGAGACCTCCTGGGAATATGTCTGCAGGAAGGCCTGCACCCCGTCCACGCCCACAAAATGCGAGACAGGCAGGCTTGACAACATGCTGCCAGAAGTCTGCAGTAGGTGCGACATGTGCCAGCGCCTCAGCCTAAGCACCAGCAGCACGATGACAAAGGCAAGGAAGATGCAGGAGACCACAGCCACAGCCACTACAAGGTAGAGTGTTAGCCCAGAAGCCTCTGGGTCCGCGAGGACCTCGAGACTGCTCAGGTCAGCCAGGACATCAGGGATGCTGTCGGCCACGGCCATGGTGAGTGTGACGGTGGCCGACAGAGGGGGCTGGCCGTGGTCCTGGACGGCCACCACCAGGCTCTGCTTGAGCGCGTCTCTATCCTGCAGGGCCCGCGCTGTGCGCACCTCGCCCGTGTGCACACCCACTACGAAGAGCCCTAGCTCACTGGCCTTGAGCAGGTGGTAGGACAACCAGGCGTTCTGTCCTGAGTCGCGGTCCACAGCCACCACCTTGGTCACCAGGTAGCCAGGCTCTGCGGAGCGCGGCGCCAGCTCCACACCAGTGGAGCCATCGGTGGGGAGGGTGGGGTACAGGATCTCCGGTACGTTGTCGTTCTGATCCAGCAGGAACAGGCTCAGCGATACATTGTTGCTGAGTGGCGGGTTCCCACTGTCACTTGCTGTGACCCGCATCTGCAGGTCTTGGAACTGCTCATAGTCGAAAGATTGGAGTGCGTACAGGACGCCTGTGTCAGAGTTGATGGAGACGTAGGAGGAGAGTGGTGCCCCCTGGATGATGTCCTCTGCCAGGGCGTAAATAACCCTGGCGTTCTCCTCGCTGTCTGGGTCAAGAGCAGTCACGGAGAAGATGGAGGTGCCTCTGGGATTGTTTTCCGGGAGGTAGACTGAGTAGGAGGGATGAGAGAAGGCAGGTGGATTGTCATTAATGTCAGCAACATGTAAAGTGATGCGAGTTTCTGTGGACAGGGGCGGGGTTCCTCTGTCTGTCGCTTTCACTGTGATGTTATACTCAGAGACTTTTTCTCTGTCAAGAATTTGGGCTGTCAACAATCGATAATAATCATCAACTGAATTTTCTAATTTAAATGGTAGATTCTCCTGCATAGAACAGACGACCTGACCATTCTTCCCGGAGTCTCTGTCATGAGCATTGAAAAGAACCATTACTGTTCCCGGAGGAGCATCTTCCCTCACTGGGCTAAACAGAGATGTAATGGTCACTTCTGGCCTATTGTCATTTACATCCTCCACAGAAATAAGCACTTTGGTCCAACCCTTTAATCCCCCACCATCTTCAGCTTGTATTTCCATTTCATAAAAAGCACATTCTTCATAATCTAGACGTTTTGCTGTTGCTATTTCCCCAGTATTTTCATTAAGTTGGAATAATGGAGATTGCTTTTCATTAATTTTCCAGAATTTATATGCCACTTTTCCATTGGTTCCCTCATCCGGGTCGGCAGCTCTTACAGTTAGCAGCCGAGTGCCAGGGGGCACATTCTCTAGGACTTTCACTCGGTACACCGGTTGAGCAAAAACTGGGGCATTGTCGTTTGTATCCAGCACTGACACGTGGATGCGCACTGTGCTGGAGCGACGCGGGTCGCCGCCATCGGAGGCCGTGAGGACCAGGTGGTGAGCAGCCTCTTCCTCGCGGTCCAGAGCGCGCTCCAGCACCAGCTCTGGGTTTATAGTTCCATCGTCTCCAGTTTGCATGTTCAGGGAGAAGCGGTGATTGGGGCTGAGCTGGTAGCTCTGGAGGGAGTTCACACCCAAGTCCGGATCAACCGCCTCTGGGAGTGGAAAACGTGTTCCAGGCGCAGCAATTTCGTTAATTTTGACTTCCAGATTTTCAGCCTGGAATTTCGGGGCATTGTCATTGATATCAGTTACTTCTATTTCAATTCCATAAAGTTGCACTCTGTCTTCAACCAGGACTTTAAAATTAACCAAACATGGTGCGCTCTGAGCGCAGAGCTCCTCCCGGTCTACCCTGCCAGCTGTAACCAAGCTGCCGCTTTTCGGGTTCAGAGCAAAGAGCTGGGTCTTACCTCTGGAGAGGATGCGGACTCCGCGCTCCTTCAGCTCCCGGAGTTGCAACGACAGGTCCTTGGATACGTTGCCCACAATATAGCCTTTTTCTGTCTCTTCAGGCATTGAGTATCGGATCTGACTGGCTCTGGACTCCCACAGCGTCCCCAGGAAAATGCACAGCAGGACCAATCTTCTGTGGTGCTGGCAACTCTTTGGAGCGGCCATTGTTGCTTCGCTACGGAATTTTCTCAGAATTCTCTCTGTGCACGCTGACTCATTAGGTTCCTTTTTCTCTCTTGCAAGTACAGTGATATTTTTCTTCAGGAAAAAAGCCTGAGTGCCCCAAGTTAAGAGGCTGAAGTTTGCTAGAGCCCGGGAGCCTGTTTGTGGGATCTGCGGCGCTTTGTGTAGTTGTAGCTCTGAAAATCCGGATAAAGCGCTGTTTGAGGTTTTTCGCAGAGTTGGTGAACAGCGGCGCTCAGAGTCCTAAGCCGTTACTACACCCACTGAGAAACGCAATAATGATTATAGATGGCTGATGAAAACGCTACTCCTCTTTGAATTATGATTTCACATTTTTCTAACTGGTTACTGCATTCATATTCCAAAATCAATTACTATTTGTAGATATCTTGGTAGGAGTTGAAGTAGGGTGAAATTTCTACAAATGTGTTATTAAATCACTAGACTCTTTTTTGGTTACTAGCACATTAACTTACCCTTATTCTTGAAAGAATTTTGCTAGCTCACTCTGTATATGTAATTCTAATTTCTTTTTTGTGGTGCTTCAATTTTTCTATATATCTTAACTATTTAAGTAGTTAAGATTTAAGTAATTAAGATATGCAATTCTCTGGAACAAATTCTTATTTTTCTAAATTTTATATTAAGTATAATATTAAGTATATTAAGTAACTTTATTGAACAAGTATGTATGGATGTATTATTTACTTTTGAATTATTTTTATATGTTTAAATTTATTTTTGATAGTAAAATTCCAGTGGAAAAATTTCCTTCATGGAAATAAATTAGGTAATAGTTATATATGTATATTGTCACCTATTATTGCTAAAGTTTTACAGGATTAAGTTTTTAAAATTCTCATTTTTGTGATTGTTAAACTTTCCTGCTATTTAAACAAACTAATTTTTTTTCTGTTTTAATACAGCTTTTGGCTACAGCATTTGGAAGATTCAAATGAGTATACAGTGAAAAGTCAGTTTCCGTCTCACTCCTTATGCAATTTTAAAGTAGTCTTAAACTTCTTATTTAAGGCATATATTCTTAGGGTCATTTAAACTTCTGTAATAATCTGGGGGAAAAGAACAAAATGTAGGAACAAGTGTTTATCTCTAAAAAGTAAAAAATAAGGGCCATTATAAGAAATCTCCAACAGTTTGTAAAGAAGCCATTAACTGAAGCAGTTGCTAAGGGAAACCAAGCAAAAGACTGATACTATGTAATGGTAACTTTGCATGCACACCAAACTAGTAGGTTTTGCCTTAAAAATGGAAGAATGCAGGATTCCCTTTCCCTCCTAGAGATACAAGGATAATCAGAAACCTCTATCACTTTTATGTTTAGAGCTCCAAAATGACAACAACAATCCAGTGTCTCTTTTTTCCCTTTTTTCTTCAATGATTACATGTTTGGAATCAGAGCAAAAGAAATAGAGGCAATAACATTTCCTTTTTCTTTTATGAAGTTTCTTCTTCTGGTAACTATAAAGAGGAAAAAAAGGATTTTGCATCCAAGAGCCAATGTTGAAAGAGAAAATACAATAATGCGGACCTTCTGATGAGTTCACTGAGATTTTTCTCTCTTTCCCAGCATATTTTATACAATTTTAGGGGATTCAAAGAATCATGGACCAACTAGGTAGGGATAAAGAACTAGACATAAGGAATAAACACAAGAAAGAGATGTAAACTGTGGCAGTGAAATCAGTGAGGGAAGATACCTAGAAGTAACACAGTTTCTTTCCTCTAAAGGTTGAATTAAATTATTACCTACTTTAAATTAAACGTTAACTTACATATATTAAAATTTTAAATATATGTTGAATAATGAAGGAGACAATCCATGAGTAAATTTCATTAGCTTTGGAAAAAAGAGAAGAAAGTTATCCATTCTTTTTGCTGTGAAGCTAAGAGCACACCCTCACTGCTTTATAAGCTGAGCTTGGTAAGATACCTCTATTTTAAAAGCAACATACCAAAAAAAAAAAAAAAAAGAATTCATTGCCAACAAGTTTATTCTGACTTACGGCGACCCTATGTGTTAAAGAGTAGGACTGCTCACTAGAGTTTTCTTGACTGTAATCTTTATGGAAGGAGATTGCCAGGTCTTTCTTTCGAGGCACTGCTCGGTGGGTTCCAACCGCCAACCTTTAGGTTAGTAGTCAACAGCAAACCATTTTCACCACCCATAGCTACTCCCAATTCACGCTCTCCTTGAAGAAAGAAATGCCAGCTTTTTGACTGACTATAACTTTCCTAAGACAACTGACTAGATATAGTAATAGAATATATTTTCATGTAAATATGGAAAATTGGGTGGATGGTAAAAAGGAGAAGACACTGAAACGAAACTCACCGGTGTTAAAGTCTCAGGATGAGAAGTTGGCTCGCTTGAACTACAAAGTGGAAATAAGGTCCCTGAAGAATCACCACAAACTATTTCTTGTCCTGAATTCAATTGCTCATTACATTTCAGGAAATTAAATTCTGTCTTTCCTGTCTGCGCAACACACAGATTGTAAGAATAAGGCAAAGTCCCCTCACTGTAGTTGGGGGGAACTACAGGTCCAGACTTGGAGCAGAATCCAGGCTGAAAGCAGTTCCAGGGGGCGGGGCTGGAGGAGCGTCTCAGGCGCAGGGCAATGGCCAGAATCACCGCGAGGAGGAAGAGCATAGAGATCAAGGCCAAAGCCAAGACCAGGTAAAACTGCAGCTCAGTTTGGGGGTCAGAGGGCTCGCGGCGGTCGGTGAGATCCGGCAGCGCCTCCTGCAGGCTATCTGCAAAGACCAGGTGCAGCGTGGCAGTGGCCGAGAGGGACGGTTGCCCTCCGTCGCGCACGGCGACCAGCAGGCGCTGGCGGGTCGCGTCCCTTTCGCCCAAGGTGCGTGCCGTGCGCACCTCGCCGGTGCGCAGCCCCAGGCTGAAAAGCCCGGGCTCGCTGGCCTGCAGCACGTGGTAGGACAGCCAGGCGTTGTGTCCCGAGTCTGCGTCCACCGCCACCACTTTGGTGACCAGGTAGCCCGGCTGCGCTGCGCGCGGCACCGTGTCGAAGAGCGCTGAGCCGTCGGGTCCCAGTGCCGGGTACAGCACCCTGGGCGCGTTGTCGTTGCGGTCGTCCACCAACACGCGCAGGCTGACGTTGGCGCTGAGCGGGGGCGAGCCCTGGTCACGTGCCTGCAGCGTCAGCTCGAAGGCGCGCAGCTGCTCGTGGTCGAAGGCGCGCTGCGCGAACACCACCCCGCTCTGCGCGCTCACAGACACGTAGGATGACAGCGCTCCAGGTTCCAGGTCGCTGGCCAAGATGGAGTAAGATATATGTCCATTGGGTCCCAAATCCGGGTCGGAAGCGCTGACTTGCGCGATGGAGGCGCCAGGAGGGTTGTTCTCAGCCACGTGAACCATGTAGGAGGCCTGGTGGAAAACTGGCGTGTTGTCGTTGACATCAGCGATGTGCAGAGTGATGCCTGTCCTGGAGGAGAGTGGTGGCTTGCCTCTGTCAGTGGCTGTGATGGTGACGTTGTACTCTGGTGTTTGCTCTCGGTCCAAGTCTCCGTCTGTCACCAACTTGTATGAATTTTTTGATGAAGAAATTATCTGAAAAGGGACTACACCTTCTAACCGACAATTAACCTCTCCATTTTCCCCGGAATCTTGGTCATGTATTTTGATCAAAGCAATCAGTGTTTCCGGCACTGCGTTTTCCGGAATCATTTCGAGTAGAGCATGAACTGTAACTTCTGGGCTATTGTCATTTTCATCTTGAATGTCAATTTCAACTGTACATTGGGCAACCAGTCCTCCCCCATCCCTTCCTTCCACCACTATAGAATATTTTTTTGTTTCTTCGAAATCCAGTGTTCTTAGAGTTGTAATTTCCCCGGTACTTGAATTCAGATCAAAGACTTGACCAGGTCTGTGGAAGGAATAAGTGATTTCTGAGTTGACGCCCTCGTCCTGGTCGGTGGCTGACACCTGTAGCACAGGGGTGCCTGGGGGCACGTTTTCCCGAAGGGTGACTCTGTATACGTTCTGGTTGAATACAGGGGGGTTATCATTGGCATCAGTAATCTGGATCCTGAGCTCAGTGGTGCCGCTTAGGGTTGGATCCCCGCCGTCCACGGCATTCAGGACTAAACGATGATAACTCTGTTGTTCCCGGTCTAAAGGTTTCTCCAACACCAGTTCGGGGTATTTACTGCCATCTTGTTTTTCCTTAGTTATCAATGAGAAACTAGGGCTAGGAGAGAGTTTATAATTCTGTAGAGAGTTGGCGCCAATATCCGCATCCTCCGCTACGTCTAATATAAATCGCGTGCCGGGCTGTGCAGACTCACTTATTTGAAGTTCAAAAGCAGTTTGCGTGAATTTTGGCGTGTGGTCATTGACATCCTCGATCTCCACATTCACGTGATAAAAGTTCAACGGATTTTCAGCAACAGCTTCAAATTCCAGAGCACACACTGGCTTCTTCCCGCATATCTGCTCCCTGTCTAGCCTGCTGCTCACAAGTAACTCTCCACTCTCTGAGCTCACAGCAAAGTAAGGCTTCTCCGAACTGACTCGCAGTTTTCGAGTCGGTAACTCGTGGACACTGAGCCCTAGGTCCTTGGCCAGGTTCCCCACCACCGAGCCCTTGGACATTTCCTCGGGAATCCTGTAGCGGATCTGCTCAGAGAGCGCCGGGCAGAACAAAGACAGCAGGAAGGGAAAGAGCACTCGCCGCCTCTCAGCCCAGCCCCACTCCCCAGCGCCGCTCCCCATCCCTCTGGCTCCCCTCAGTTTGCTCACCAGCCTGGAGACGCAGGGTTACAAATAACCTCAGGTGTCTGGAGCTCCGATCGGCTTTTAGTTCCAGTAGTGGGAGCCCGGGATTCCTTTCCAGAGGAGGAAATGGTGAAATGCTCGCGCAAGTGTGACATGGAGCTGCCTTGGAAAGTGCGCTGCGTCTGCGCAAGAAGAGAGCGAACACCAAGCTCTCCACTTTGGCCAACAGCGGCGCCCAGAGTCCGCACTAGGAAACTGCAGCCTCTGCTGCTTCAGTTTAACCAGCTACAATCATTGTGCGTCTAATTGACAAAGACATGTTTTTACGTCCGTATAATTAAAAGCTTAAATTATAAACACTCCTGTTAAGATACCTTTTCTCAAGTTTTAAAACTGTTAGGAATATCATGTTGGGTCTTTATGCAAACCTACAAATATTGGTCCATTTATTTTGCCATTCTACTACCATGTTTAAACTATTACCTTATGCCAAGGTTTGCAGTGGATATATAGCAATGAATAAGACACAGCACTTGCCCTCAGAAACTTCAGAATCTCCTAATTTCACTTCTCTTTATTATTTATGACGTGCTGAAACATTTTTTATCCTTTCATCAAATTTTATTCCTCCAACATTTTTAGATAATGTTGTTTTGTATCACATATGCTAGAGTTGAAAATTACTTTGTAAAGGTGTACAATTTTGCACCAATTCCCAGCCACCTCCTCTTCCTGATATCAATGCTCTCTTTATCAATTATTTTCTTTTTACCCTTCTGACCAGCTCAAAAATTATTCAATCAAGAAAACTGCTCCTGTGAGGTAGCCATGAGATGATTTACCCTACCAAATGCCTCTGCTTCATTTCTTACGATCGCTTGAATTGTGTCATGCCGTTTTTAGTGCATAAATTCATTCATTCATCTATGCACCTATGATACACTGAGGTAATGGCTTTGCAAGTGGAAGAATCAAGCACATGGTATGTTTATTTGCATAAATTTACTGACTAAAGTGATATTTGGTTTAATTCTTATTAACTCCATTTGTTAAAACATTTTTTAAAATGATTAGTGAACATTTTGAGGCATGGTATGGATTTTCTTTTTTATTAGGGCAACTTCACACTTTCTAAACTTGCAAAGTGTCAGTAGTAGAGTTGTCCCATCAAATGACTGTGTATCCAAACACTACAAAAAGTATAAAGTTAACTCCCATCCCACTGTATAGTCATCGATATGCAAAGTAGGACAGAACACCAAACAATCCTTGAGAAATAGCCTTTTCATTAAGAATAAGATTTGCCATGTCTTCCTCTTCCACATGATTACAATCAAATCAAACAGCTTTATTCAAACACCACAGAAAGGAATACAGAAGATGTGAAGTCCAGACTGCATCATTTTAAACAGATTGATCAGCTTGTTTAGAATTTGGGCACATGAAACTATTGTTGTTAAAATGAACATTCCCCAACTCTGTCTTCAGGAGCCCACAGACACCTTACACATGGTTGCACAACCAGAGCAGCTCACTGGAACTCTATTGAAACCTGTTCTTCGGTATTTTACAAAACTCACTTTCAGGAGTTTGAAATGACATTTTATTTCAGAACTGACTTGACTGTGTTTTATTTTTTGGGAGGCCAGTGGCCTCCCCAGCTTTAGATTCCATGTATGAACTGATACAAGACCTGGGTGGTTATTGACAAAAAGACATAACATTTAGGGACAAGTCTCACCTCCCACCAGGATCCAGCCTTTAAAATTGATTTATGTTTCAAAATATAGTAAGAAGTAGTAAAGTTTTGAAGGGATCAGAAAAGAGTTTTAAACTGAAGAAAATTTTAAGAGCTCAGTTATAGGTCCAAGCCCTAAACATAATCCTAAAAATTCTGAGGTGCATTTTACTTTCACTAAGCTAACACAAGTATTTAGAAGTCTTCCTCATTCTTCCTGAGTCCTAATTTACAATATATATGGGTTACGTGTATATACAAAAGAAAGCAGTACAACAGCAAACTTACCCTATGTGGGTGGGTAACTAATTCTCAAGTCAATGAGTGATAATAAGAATAAAATAGTGGAAGTCTTTAAAAAGTTGAGAATTCATAATGAAAATATCTTGTCCAAGGCTTTTGAAAGTAAGTGAAAGAACTGATGACAGAGTTCAATTTTAAATACTACCACTAAAACGCAAAACTTTTGTTGTGTTTAAAATTTTTTTCAACTCTATATCCCTGGTGGCGCAGTGGTTAAGCCCTGGTCTGCTAATCAAAAGGTCGGCAGTTGGAATCCACCAGCTGCTCTGCCAGAGAAAGACGTGGCAGTCTGCTTCCATAAAGATTACAGCCTTGCAAACCCTATGCGGCAGTTCCACTCTGTCCTACAGGGTCACTATGAGTCGGAATTGACTCCACAGCAGTGGATTTGGTTTTTTGGTTTTATCTTCACATTGCTTGTTTGAAGACACATAAAGTTGTACCAAATATAATTCCTCTAAAAATAAAAATAAAGAACTGAACTCACCTGAACACTAGCGCCTTCATCCTTACATTCATGAAAATCTATGAATGTTGATATGGGATCCTTTTTCTCACAGCTCTCTTGGATGATGAGCGTGTCCGCGTAATTGGGCTGAGGAAAGATAACGTGGCTCTTCCCGGAGTCTGTGGTGAGGGAGACCTCGTGGGAACAGGTCTGCTTGAAAGCCTGTACACCATCGATGCCCACAAAGTGAGATGCGGGCACACCCGCCAACCCGCCTCCCGCAGCCTGGAACAGACACGACCTGTGGCAGCTCCGCAGCCTAAGCGCAAATAGCACGATGACAAAGGCAAGGAAGACGCAGGAGACCACGGCCACAGCCACTACCAGGTACAAAGTAAGGCCAGAGCCGTCAGCGTTGGCGGAAGATTCGAAGGTGCTTAGGTTGGCCAGGACGTCGGTGATGCTGTCAGCTACGGCCACCGTGAGCGTGACGGTGGCCGAGAGAGGGGGCTGGCCCTGGTCCTGGACGGCCACCACAAGGCTCTGCTTGAGCGCGTCTCTATCCTGCAGGGCCCGCGCCGTGCGCACCTCGCCCGTGTGCACCCCCACCGCGAAGAGCCCTGGATCGCTGGCCTTGAGCAGGTGGTAGGACAGCCAGGCATTCTGTCCCGCGTCGTGGTCTACCGCCACTACTTTGGTCACCAAGTAGCCGGGCTCTGCCGAACGGGGAGCCAGCTCTACACCAGTAGAGCCATCGGTGGGAAAAGCAGGGTACAGGATCTTGGGCGCATTGTCGTTTTGGTCCAGCACGAACAGGCTCAGCGACACGTTGCTGCTGAGTGGTGGGTCCCCGCTGTCGCTGGCAGTCACCTGTAGCTGCAAGTCTCGTATCTGCTCATAGTCGAAGGATTGGAGTGCGTAGAGGACGCCAGTGTCGGAGTTGATGGAGATGTAGGAGGAGAGCGGCGCCCCCTGGAGGGTGTCTTCAGTCAAGGAGTAAGTGACCCGGGCGTTCTCCTCGCTATCCGGGTCGTGTGCAGTTACTGAGAAGATGGAGGCGCCTCTGGGATTGTTCTCTGGGATATAGGCTGAGTAGGAGGCGTGAGGGAAAGCAGGGGGATTGTCATTGGTGTCTGCCACGTGCAAGGCGATGTGAATTTCAGTAGAAAGAGGTGGAGCTCCCAGGTCTGAGGCCATCACGGAGATATTGTACAAAGAGACTTTTTCTCGATCCAAGTATTTCCAGGTCACCAATCTATAATAATTATCTATTGCCTTTTCTAACTTAAAAGGCAAGTTATCAGGTGTGTAACAGACAACTTGACCATTCTTTCCAGAGTCCGGGTCATGCACGTTCAAGAAAGCAATTACTGCTCCAGGAAGAGAATTTTCCAAGACTGGGTTAAACAAAGATGTAATGATCACTTCGGGTCTATTGTCATTTACATCTTCCACTGAAATGAGCACTTTGGTCCTCCCCAAAAGGGCCCCTAGATCTTCAGCTTGTATTTCCATTTCATAAAACGAACGATCTTCATAGTCTAGACTTTTTGCTGTTGTTATTTCCCCAGTACTTTCATTAAGCTGGAATAACGGAGATTGTTTTTCATTAATTTTCCGGAACTTATATGTCACTTTTCCATTGGTTCCCTCATCCGGGTCGGCAGCTGTTACAGTTAGCAGCCGAGTGCCAGGGGGCACATTCTCTAGGACTTTCACTCGGTACACCGGTTGAGCAAAAACTGGGGCATTGTCGTTTGTATCCAGCACTGTCACGTGGATGCGCACTGTGCTGGAGCGACGCGGGTCGCCGCCATCGGAGGCCGTGAGGACCAGGTGGTGAGCAGCCTCTTCCTCGCGGTCCAGAGCGCGCTCCAGCACCAGCTCTGGGTTTATAGTTCCATCGTCTCCAGTTTGCATGTTCAGGGAGAAGCGGTGATTGGGGCTGAGCTGGTAGCTCTGGAGGGAGTTCACCCCCACGTCTGGATCTACCGCTTCTGGGAGTGGAAAACGTGTTCCAGGCGCAGCAATTTCGTTAATTTTGACTTCCAGATTTTCAGCCTGGAATTTCGGGGCATTGTCGTTGATATCAGTTACTTCTATTTCTATTCCAAAAAGTTTTCCTCTATCCTCAACCAGGATGTTAATGTTTACAAGACACAGGACGCTCTGAGCGCAGAGCTCCTCCCGGTCTACTCTGCCCGCCGTTATCAAGCTGCCACTTTTCGCGTTCAGAGCAAAGAGCTGGGTCTTACCTCTGGAGACGATGCGGACTCCGTGCTCCGCCAGCTCTTGTGACTTCAGCCCTAAGTCCTTGGAGATGTTGCCCACAATATAGCCTTTGTCTGTCTCTTCCGGCACTGAGTAGCGGATCTGTCCGGTTCCAGTCTCCCACAGCGTCCCCAGGAAAAAGCACAGCAGGACCACCTCACTGCGTTCTCGCGAATTATTTGGAGCGGCCATTTTTATTTCGCTAAGGAATCCTCTCAGAATCTTCACTAGGCATACTGTGGCTTGTATACCTTTTTGCCACCGCTATGAACCAGAAAGTCTGAGTGCCCCAAATTTTGGGACTGAGTTTCGCTGTAATCCAAGAGTTCGTCTGTGGGATCTGCGCGTCTTCGTGAGGTGAGAGCCCTGAGTAAATCTGGAGGATGCTTTGATTGCATTTCTCTCCAAGTAGGTGAACAGCGACGCTTAGAGTCCTAATCTGTTACTACACTCATTTAGCTATACAATACTCTTAGCTAGGTTACTGAGAAAATACTAGTTTTTTATTAGATATTTTGTTTTGTATTTACTTAATTTCTCCCTGAATCCATATTTCATAAGTAACTGCCAAGGAATATAAGAAGAAGTGGGGTGAAAGTTTTATAAAGTATTAGTGAATGACCAGATTTAAAGGTTAGCATCATATTACTCACGTTCCTGGAAGACAGTTGATCTTTTAAAATATATAATGACACCTTTATTTCCAATGTGTTCTGAGTTTTATCATAAATGTCTTCAATATCTATTTTTCAGATAAGTAAGATTGCAATGGTCACTGGAAATGAATTCATACTGAGACTAAAATAGATCTGTTGGAGATGGTTGACTCAGAAGTTGTTTCATTTGGTTTAAGTTAATTAATTATTATAGCATGCTTTGTGGAGAGTCATTGCTTTTTAATTTTGAAAAATGCCATTTTCGTTACTCAATAATTAATACTGTGCATTCTTAACAGGATATGGGCTTTTACAATTTAAGTTTCACCAGAGATTATAGTGTTCTGTTATTTTATTTAAAATATTTATATTTTTCTATTTGAAAATGAACATATCTGAAAGGCACAAATAAATATACATTGAAAAGCAAATCTCCATCCCATCTCTTCCACCAATGAGAAATGATTAAATTTTTAAGCAGCCTTAATTAACTCCTTGAGATAGGCAAATATTCTCAAGTTAATTTTATCTTAACTAGTACTTTGGTCAAAAGAATCATAAAAAAATAAGGAGCATATAATTATCACTAAGAAGACAAATAATAAGTATCACTACAAAAAGTCTCTTTCCTTCTGCAGTTTGTAAAGAAGCTACTAACTGAAGCAGTTGCTAAGGGAAACCTAGCAAGGTTAATACAATGTACTGTCACCTTTGTATGCACATCAAAATGGCAGGCTTGTCTAAAATTTTGAAGAATTTAAGACTCTATTTCTCTCCTAGAGATAGTAGAATGACCAGAAGGCCTCTAGTCACAGTTTTAGGACTGCAAATCAGACAGTTTTAAAATTATACATCAGGATTCTGTCTGAGGAGGGCAACAGAGGCAAAAGTATTATCTTTCCTTTGATGGAGGAGCCTATTGAATGAGCTTCAGTACAGATTAATCCTGAAATAACCTATGTTGCAAGAAAATAGAACAATGCTTTTGATCTTTTGATGAGCATAATGGACCTTCTGCTAAGTGAAATGATCACACATACACAGCTATACAACACATTGTATATAATTACAAAGGGTCCATGAACACAAAAACCCAGTGTAAGATATCTTATTCTAGGAGTTTTTGAAACAAAAAGAAGTAAATATAAGAAACTAAAATACAAGAAATAAAACACCAGAATAGTATGGAAACCACAACAGTTAAATCAGTGAAGAAAAGTATCTAATTTAGGATAATTTTCTTTAAAGGTACACTTAAATGACTGCTTACTGTTGTATTTATGGTATGTCCAAGAATTAAAAGGTATTCATTAAATATTAAGGGAGAAGAAGAAACATTTCTGGGGAAAATCTCATCAGGTAAAACCCCCTATAAGACACATAATTGCTCCTAATTCACCCCTCCCTTGAAGAACGGAATGACTGGCTGTAACGTCTTAAGACACTAGCTCAAATATGGCCTATTAATCCTGTGAATATAGCAAGATGTGCTTTAAGGAAACTCACCAGCTGAGAAGTTGACTCATTGGGATTACACAGTGGAAATAAAGCTCCAGATGAATCACCACAGAGTATGTCTTGTCCTGCATTCAGTTGCTCATTACATTTCAGGAAATTAAATTCGGTCTTTCCTGTCTGTGCAACACACAGATTGTACGAATAGGGCAAAGTCCCGTCGCTGTAGTTGGGGAGCACCTCAGGTCCAGACTTGGAACAAAGACCAGGCTGAAAACAGTCCCAGGTGGTGGGGCTGGAGGAGCATCGCAGGCGCAGGGCAATGGCTAGAATCACGGCAAGGAGAAAGAGCACAGAGATCAAGGCCAAAGCCAAGACCAGGTAAAACTGCAGCTCGGCCTGGGGATCAGAGGGTGCGGAGCGGTCGCTGAGGTCTGGCAGCGCCTCCTGCAGGCTGTCTGCAAAGACCAGGTGCAGCGTGGCAGTGGCCGAGAGAGGTGGCTTTCCTCCATCGCATACAGAGACCAGAAGGCGCTGGCGGGCCGCGTCCCTGTCGCCCAAGGCACGCGCCGTGCGCACCTCGCCCGTGCGCATCCCGAGGCTGAAGAGCCCGGGCTCGCTGGCCTGCAGCACGTGGTAGGACAGCCAGGCGTTGTGTCCCGAGTCTGCGTCCACCGCCACCACCTTGGTGAC